CAGACCACCGGGACTGATACAGCTGCCCAGGTAAACAAATTTGTCTACTACCTCAATCGGTTCATCCGCAAGCATGAGGCTAGGGTTCGAGCCCACTCAGTCTTACAGTAGCACTTTACACTTTGCAGGTGTGCCGAACCGCGAGATAGAATTATTTAGATTATTTAATATTGTTTGCATTACGACGGGGTCAGATCAAAGAAGAGCTATGTCCTCTCCGTACTCGATATCTGTGAGCGGAGGCCCAGGGAGCACTTTTACCCCACAGGCATTAGAGGCTGGCAGTGAGTCTCCCTTGATTGTACCAGTGACGAAACTGAAGAGGAAAGGTGAAAGAGGATGGCCCTGTTGGACACCACTTGATGTGGTGAGCTCAGGAGAGAACTTCCCGTAGACCTTTACACGGCCGCGGGAGTTGGCTTACAGCGCCTTAATGAGGGTCAAGAATTTATGGGGGACACCTCTGATTACCGACCTTAATAAGTTCGCACCCTAACCTCTGAGACATCAAGAGCCGGATATTTCCGAAATTTGCCTCCAGTTTCACTGACAGGTCTGGTGAGTTCCATTACCTCGTTCTGCGCCACTAGTTACACACGATGTACAAAAGCGAAGGCGACCTCATGATTCTACACATTCTGGCACACAACAGTTCTCGTGATAAAAATGTGCCCTTCTGGGAAGTTTGTAGCAGAGGTTGCTGATCTGCGACCCCTCTCCTTCGGAAATGAGGCTCCTGGTGCTGTCATTTTCAGCATGCCTGTAAGAAATTGTCTTAAGCTACGTTGGAGCTGGACAGCTACTTATGAAACGAATCAAAAGCGAATGGGGCGAGGTGGCTTAGTGATTAGGGCGCGAATTTACTGACAAGAAGGGCCGTGTTTCAAACCCGAACCCTGCCTCTCGACTTCCCCTGTCTAGGCTTCGGCAACCTGTCAGTATCGTGACCCTCGTGCTTCCTTCTGGTGACATGGCGGCTAGACCCCGAAAGTGTGTTGCAGCTGAACGAATTATTTTATTTTCAAAAGCAAAGTGAAGGAACTGGTTAGAACTGTTAAACAGGGTTGTCGTCGAAGCTGGTAAGTGGTTGCAGGCACGCCAATGGTTTCCGTTTGTTCCCATTATTATGTGCCTGTAGCCATCTTTGGGGTTGCCACCTGGTCATAAGCCCCGGAGGATGATATCAGTCAATTGCGCTAAGTGGCCCAGCCAGTGCTTCCTTAGGTCTGACGGTGTCATCGGCTGCTTACCGCTCCGTTCCATTTTGATTGAGTACTCGCGAACGCTCAGGATGTCCAAATATCCTTTTACCCATGGCGATCTCTTGGGAGATCACTGGTTGGCTGTTCGATAACTTCATACGTGTAGTACAAAATACCCGGTGATACGTGTCCGTTTTCATCGGGACAAGAATTAAGAACCACTAGCTTTGACCTGAAGATTATATTATTGTCGGTTCCTGTTTCTATTCGTAGGAGTGGTTTGATAAAATGGCTGCGTATCAACTATGAGCTCACACTTTTTTCACCTTTTGACACGACCTGGGTGCTCCCAGGATAGGAGTTATGTTGCTATCAACGCAAATCCTCCAGTTGAACCACCTTATTGGTTGCAATGTCCAGTCGTTCGCCGGGAAAGCGGGGTCGGAGAAATATAATTAGACATAATCAGTTAATTTATGTTGAGTTGTTCTATTTGTGCGAAGCTAGGTAGCTACGCATGAAGCTGATAGATTTGATGCTTGTCTGAGCTTTGTCTGCTACGGTCATTAACCAATGGTGGTTGAGTCTTGGGGGCTGTAGTCAGAGATGTGACAGTCATCAGCCCAACTGAATTTACTGATTGGTGCTTTCATATTTATTTGCCATGTTATATACTGTCGAATCAGCACATGACCGGCCAAAAATAACCTTGTGAGACAGACTGTCCGGTATGTACAGTACATGTTCCGACCGGCGTAACTCATCGTGGAAGAGTTCCTTGTTCCTAGAGCCCTCTGCCGTGTTTCAGTATTGCTGATCTCATGTTCTCACCAGACCCAGACGATGGCCGAACATCGACAACTTTTGTGCACCCTTTGCGCACAGGGGTCACTTGCTGACCCATAAATCAGTATGGGTCGCACCGCGGCTGACAGCCAGACTAAATTCACTCTGGCGTCATGACTGTCGGAGGTTGGAATAAGCTGCTCCGGACCCTTCGGTCCGAGAAGTAATTTCGCCTCCATTTATTCCACCGAAACTCATAAAACTGTCCAGGTAAAAAATTCATCTACGACATCGGTTGGTTCATCTGTGAGTAAGAGGTTTGTGTTTTATGCCACTCAGTCTTGTAGCAACGAATTAGACTGCAGGATTACTTAAGTTATTTAAAATGACCTTTACGTTTGAAGGATCTGAATCAAAGAGATCAATATCGTTTGTATACTCACTGTGAGTGAACGCCCCTGGGGACATTTCTATCACCCAGGTTTTAGGGACAGGCAAGGAAATTTCAGGCAGCACAAAATTGAAGAGGAAAGACGTGAAAGGGCATCCTTACCTCACACCATTGGACGTGCTGATCTCAGGCGGAGGCTTTCTGTTCACTCGTACCCATCCACAGGAGTTCGTCTATGGTATCCCCATAAAATATATAGATTTAGAAGAGACCTTGTTACCACAGGTTGTTTCACAAACGCATTCAAAACCCCACTTTTCGGGTATCTGATGATCCTGATACTATATCTTATGGGATATATGATGAGGGAGTTACACAGCTTCTTTTACTGGAGAGTCAACGATACGGTTTTTGATAATGGGAGGA